ACCTGAAAACGGCTGGAGGGCACAACAGCTGAAATATTGTGATAATAACAGTCAAGATGAAGATATTAGTCTATCTGTAAATAATGTAAATACCAGCTTTGTTTGCTATCTATTATTATTCAAATTAATTATTAGTTGGCTATGTCTCCCCAGTACAACTTTATGTAAAAAGCAAAGCCTATTGGTTGTACAATTTAAAAAAAAAAAAAACAAGAATTTGAAACTGATGTTAATAAACCCCTGAAAATGTGGACAATTTATGGGTGAATATATCTTTTAAGTTTAGTTTGTTTTGTTTTACAGCATATTAACCTCAGTGGGTTATTTAATGCTGACAATATTTTTTTTTTTAAATATACTGCTAGCAATAATGTATTGCTGGTAATATTTTTTTCCAAGAATGTATTGCTGGTATTAAAAGCTATTTTTACACTTTCATAGTGTATTGACCCCAGTTTGAGGGGGATAACTATTTGCTCATAGCTGGGACCCTAACAGGTGCTACCACCCTGTGTCAGGGTGGACCTGGTAACACCAACAATTAAGAGGTGGTTCCATGCTTCACAAAACCTCCTGATCAGAGGCCTTGCTGCTGGATGTAGTTTATCTTCATCCCCAGGACGCGGGTGTAGTTAATCGTCATTTCCAGGAAACCTCATTTGTGGGGTCTTACCCCTCTGCAAAGATTCAGTCAGAGTATTCTGAAGCTCCAGTCAACAGGGCATTTAAGCTTTTGTCCAATCTTATTTTCTTAACAGCACTTTACCAGAAATGATCCTGTCATTTCCATAATTGAAACATCTTTTTATTTAGAAATTTAAATGAAAATTCCTACCTCTATTTTTATGAGGTTGATTTTATGAACTAATGATTTGACTGAAAAGGGTCTTGCAAATCACTCTTTAGTTTTAGCCTTAGAAATTAGTAGACAACAGAAATACACTTGGCAGATTCTTACAAAAGTTGATGCAATTTCTAGAAAATATCAAGTGCTGTTTTGTTGTTGGAAGTTTTTTTTTTTTATAATTTAACACCTATTGTGCAACAAAGGTGATTTGGTAGTATATAGGACATACTCGAAATATGACAGGGAAATTGAGGCAAATTTTCTAGAATTGGTTATAGATCACATTGGGGAAGATTTGTTGACCCAAATCATGTCCTTTTTGGTGTAGGACACATGATCATAGGGAGATTTTTGGAAAAAAAAAGTTCATGCTATATGTTGCAAAACATGGTATAACGATGAAAACTAGTTGCCTCCTTGAATAATAATTTGGACTATATATTGAACATAGTTGAAATCAATGCAAAAAAAAATCTTTCAATTCTTGTGTGAAGCTCTAATACATTCCATTAAAAAAGACATTTTAAAGCTCTTCTGAGTTTACAATAAAAATACTTTTTCATTTGCTCTTTTACTAAATAGTTACTAAATTATATTTAGAGTTATTATAATGACACTTATACTGTATTCAAGAATTTTACCTATTCTATGAGTTTACTTACATTTAAATGTCATTCATATTTCTTAGACTGAAATTTAACAAACTTGAGTATTAATTCTTGCACAAATATTAGCAGTCCAAGTACTGGTGAAAATCCTAAGTTGCTATTAAAAATAACATTGCATATTACTTTTTACTTATCCATTTACTAAATCTAAATAGATTTTAAAAGATTTTCTTTCAAACCTATTTCAGAAACAACATTTTGCCTTTTCTTTTTCAGGTTCACAGTTCCTGCCTAGTGTTGATATGAGACTACCATGAAGTCTTCCTTACAAACTTTTGAGGTTATGGTATTTTTATTTTCATGTTTGATCAAGGCACATAATGTTAATTTTGTTCCAAAGCTAAATAGACTGTAATCAAGTGATGTTTGTGGCAGAAACTGTATAATCCAAACGAATCTCATTTCTTAAGTATGTGAAGTGTCAAGTTTCTATAAGAAACATTACGAAAAGAACCTTAGCTGTAAACCAATTAAATGCTCATCAGGTATATCCTCTTAGGAGATGAATGAGGATACATTTGATAATTGGATTGAACAAATTTGGTAGATGGCCACAAATTTTTGACTTTAGCTTCCCTAAAAGCTCATTTTTGATACCTTTCATACTCTTTTTCAATGCAACAAGAAGGTATATATTATATGCTGGGTGCCTTCAGGATGTAGGCGATCATGGCTCTCTACAATTTCCTGTCCTTTGTAGCTCTTAGTAAAGTTTATCTTTTTGCTATATCTCCTAATCCCTGTTCTGTCAGATCAATACAACATTTTTTTTAAAAGGAATAAAAAAAATTTGATGAACTTGAACCTTTGTACCAGCAAAAAAAAAAACAGTGTGTCAAAAAGGATAGTTTTTCCCTTGACACCGCTATTATTTTTACTACCTTCACTCATTGGCAATGTTTATTGTTTTAAAAAACAATTATTATAATTGTAATAAAACCTGGACATATGATGAAAGTGAATTTATACATTTTCTTTGTTTTTGAGAAATGACTGCAAAAATAATAAACACTATTTATTAGATTGTTTATTTACACTATTTATTATATTGTTTATTGGAATGGTTGGCAAAACATTGTTGAATTGCCAATTGATTTGAACTTCATGAAATGGTAAATAATAAGGATTTTCTTATAATTAGTTCACAAAATTTAGTAAATGTAGGTACCTCCACGAGATCGCTAAAAAAAGAGCATAGCATGATGAAAAAGACGCCAAACTTGACGAAAACAAAATTTTATCGTCTAAATGTTTGTTATTCATTAAGAGGAAAGGTCAAAGTATTTTTTGTTTTTTTTTCCATTTTTTAATCGTTCCTAGCACGTCTGAAATTTTCGTTAAAAATCTAGTTTTTTTTGAGTCAGCAAAATTGACCATTTTTTTCCATTTTAAAAAAAACTGGAAATCTGACTTTGAAATTTTTTTAAATATCAATTATCATTTTTTCAAAACTTATTTTAAGAAAATCAGAAATTATAATGTTTATTTAAAATATTTTGAACCAAACTTAACTTAGCTTTTGTGCCAAAAAAGATGTAATTTGAAAATAAAACAAAGCAGGTCATAAACTTTTCGCGTCTCTTGACATGTGATGAATGATATATTTACGAATTCCATGAGGCTAATTTGTTCTACGGAAGGAGAAAAGTGAAATAATTTACATTTACGTGAACAAATTATTTATCCCATTATTTTTAACGAAAACTTTCAGCGGTCTAATTTTTTTTTTTTTTTTTTTTTGTACTTAGCTTTCACCTTTACGTTTATGATGCTTTATGGGAAATATATTCTAAAGAAATTAAAATAAAACTGTTAAGAGTGACATTAAATTTCATATTTCTTAAGAAAGGTATCTAATTAATTTATAGGTACCTTTCTTATGAAATTTTATCAGAATTGTACATAAAATACTATTATTTTATGTACATTTATTACATTCTACTGTTATTTGTATTTGCATTCATTTTATTATTAATTTTGATATTTCATTTATGGAAAAATGTCGTAACTGAGATTAATATAAAAATAAGATCATATAAATTTCATAAGATGATACTGATACTTGTAGGTAACCTTCTCAGTTGAAATTGAAAAATCAAATTAACTTCTCCACACGTGTTTACGCAAAAAGTAAAGGCCTTAACAACGGAGAACAATGCTTAACTCAAATAACATAACTTAATTATATTCTGGTTGGTCTTCCCTATTTTATAATTACAGCTCGATTATAAGCACAAAATTACATTTCTTAATTACTGGGGATCTTCTGATTAGTCAAAATGATACAATTTACAACGCTAAAAAATATCTATCTCATAAGGACACTTATGAAAGCCTGTCTTGACTTTTAACTAATTTTATAATATTTTAACAACTTAAATGTAAAATCTATTATAATTAATGAAATAACAAATAATTGTATTAAAAATTCATTTTTCATCGAAAAAATTTTTTTGCTTTCAGAAAATATTGTCCATATTCATAAAAACAACTAAAAGCAAATAAAAGCATTTGAAATTAAATAATATATTTGTTTTATTGAGTTTTGTATGTTACAATTCAGAGCTGATTTTCAGGTACTGGGTATCCAATTAAAAACAAAAAAAAACATGATTTGCATTCCTCAAAGCCCTGTGCTTTTAATTATTGTAATCACTAAAACCGATGCGATCGAATTTCTAGCGTTTTCATAAAATTAGTTATGGGGGGTAATAAATATTTTTAAAAATATTTCTACCATGACTTTCATAAAAAAACATATTTATAATAATTTCGATCATCTGTGAATAGTTCCTGAAAGTTTCATTAACATCCGATAATTATTTCTATTTTTGCACGATTTTTTTCAAATTAATGTGTCATACCAAAAAAAACGTGCTAAAAATTGTCTATGTTATTTACTATTTCCGCTGATACAAATAGAAACAAGGTTTTTTTAATCAAAATTTAGAATTTTCTAAAAAAGAAGGAAAATTTTTAAAAATAATTAAAAAAACTTTTGGTCTTTCCTCTAAATAATAACAAGCATTTAGACAATAAAATTTTGTTTTCGGCAAGGTTGGCGTCTTTTTCATCAAGCTATGCTCTTTTTTTAGCGATTTCGTGGAGGTACCTAAGTAAATGTTTATAAATTTTTGAATAAAAAATTGCTTTCATATTTATTTCTTTATAAATTGGTAAATGATAAATATTGCATTGCATGATTTTTAATTTAAGCTTTTAGAATGTTGTAAATATAAAATTATTCTTTGCATTTCTAATTCCAATCATCACTTTTTAATGCAATAAACATTACTGATGAGTGAATGTAGTTATAATAACCCTCTGGTGTTAATGGAAAAAAAAACGTCCTTTTGAGAATGTTTTTTTTTTTTCTTTCGGACATAAAAGTCCAAATTTGCCTTATAAAATTTATTTTTTATAATATGAGAAAACATCATCGTCATCAATTCTTTATTTCACACTGTAATATTTACTTTGTTAAAATGTTGATAATTTTTCAGGAGAGCCATTGCCTTCGAGGAAACAGCTTTCCCGAATCCTCTCTTGTTGAGGACAGATATCCAACTGCAGCCGGAGATGCTGCTGACATTGGCTTGAAATCTCGATGTGACAAACTTCAAGAAGAAGTTGATAATTTGAAAAGAGAATTAGAAGCAGATAAGATAAGAGTAAGTAGTCTTCTTTATTTTATTCATTATTATTTTTTTGAAAAACATTCCAACCATTAATTTTTCTATCATGTTAATCATAATATTTATTTGAACACACTTAGATTCTGAGTTGTTTTACTTGCACCACATATGCTTCTCATGCAAAATTAAGTGTTTTGTTTAATTAAAAGAAAAAAAACTTGTAGTTCCAATGAATGATTTATTTTATGGAAATATTTCGGCTAGCAGTTGTCATTCTTGGTCATTCCTTAATTTGAGTAAAAACAGTGCAAAGAAACTAGAAATGCGTAAGAATTCAAATCAAGGGAGAAAAAAAACAAGTCGATGATGTTTACAATGTAATCGCAAGTTGGGTCATTAAAAAAAAGGATTTTTGTTTTTACTCTATAAATTGTTTTTTATTTATTTTTTTTATCATATTTTTCTTTGGAGCAGAGATGTCCAGACTGGATGGAGTTATGCCTCATTTATCCTATTGCAGGCATTTTTTTATTATTTTTTTTTTTTTTTGCATCGTAACTAAGTATTTTGTTTATTTTTTTTAATTATTAGCATAATTATTGAGATTTCAACTAATTAAAAATTAAGTTTTGATTATCTGAAGTGTTTTTCTCTTAAGAATTTGCTTCATTTGATAGTTATAATAATGGAATTTTACTCTTGTTTGTGTAAAATTATCTTTTTTTTAAATTTTTTTCTTTTGGTCCCTCTTATAGCTAGTCTCATTTGTAACTGAAATTCATTGCAGGTACTTCATTTATTAAAAGTAATCATGTGCAGGCATTATTTGTTTGGTGAAATATAAGTCATTATACAGAAATGTTGATGTTTACCAGAGTGGGAAGAATGTAAATATTAATGAACGTTAGATCCAAAATGAATAGAAGCTAAATTCTTTTGAATTTCATTTTTGAAGAATTATACATTTGAATTAACTTATGACTTTGTATTATTTAAAGCTAAAAAAATATTTGCTTTTTATGCATCATTTCTGTATTTTAAATGTTGTTGACAATAAATTTAGATTTGTCTTCACTAGGAATGGCTGCAAAACACTTTCCCCTCCCCATTTTATAGACAGAAGCTCACAAATGTATTATGAGATTTTTTTTCTCGCCAATAAAATAGGCTGGTTCCCAATTTCATTCAATCAGTAAAGTTTACAAAGAAAAAAAATCATACTTTGTTATATCTTATATTATTTACAAAAATTTCAAGGTAATTTTGTATCATGCTACATGCTCCGTTTGTGTTGATCTGTGGAAAATAATAGAATATATATTGCAACTGTTTATTGTGAATGAGGCTAAAATACAATCAAGATGTGAGTTAGCATGCTAAGGGATAATACCACTTTACAAGTTGGGTTTTCTCCTTTCTTTTGCAGAACAAAAAATCACTACCTCCACGAGAAGATATCCTTGCTGAATTCCAGAAACGCACAGCGACAATTCATTCATTAATGGATGAAAAGTAAGAATCTAGTTTTCATTTCTTGTGCAAAGAGGAAACACATTTTTCTTTTTAGTTGATAACAAACTCTTTAGATGCTTTATATTTAAATTAGTAATGGTTTATCTTGGTTTAGATAACAATTCAATACAAGAATTAACAAAAAAAAACATATGCCTTTGGCAAAGTGTACCTTGAGGTTTGGTCAAAAAGTAATGTCTGTTCTTTAATTACAACAGATTTCAGCAGCCCACACAACATATCAAAACGAACACAAAAAATCTCAGGATTCCATATCTAGTCTTCAACATAATTTCCTCCCTACTCAATCATGGTATCCCACATTTGAATGAGGGCAACTTGACTGTTGTCTCTATCATCATCATTGGAGAACCACTGTCCTCAGAGTACCTCTTTCATGGGTACTATATGTGTTGTGCAGCTCCAGAAGGTCTTGTCCAGCAACTTATCTCTGCTCTTTCATAGAGTCTGTCAGCATTTTTGAAATCTACTTTGTATAGCCAAGAAACTGCATGAAATTGTAGGTGCTACAATGGTTTGTCTGGAGGCTTTGGCAGAGTTTTGCAATAGTGATTCTTCTTTTATGAGCTGTAATAAGAGCAGCAATCTATTTGGCCCTATCTGCATTCATAACAGCTGCTGACCTGCCACTTCAGGGCTTATCACTGAAGTCAGTTTCTCCTTTTTAACTGTACTGACCAATCTCTTTGTTGTGCTTACATCAATTGGAACCTTTCCATAAACATTCACTAACCTCCTGTGAATGTTTGCAGAACCTTTTTTTGCCAAAAACAGTAATTCTACAATTCCGATTTTGCTTTCTACGAGTGTCAGAGGGGCAGCCAATTTAAAAAAGAATATGGTTTGAAAAAGAGAACAATTTCTAGACACGATGTCATTTATAGTTAAAACAACCACTAGAAACTCTGACCAATACTTTTAAAATTAAATTAGTAAAAGCATTTAGTTTTGACTGTTCCTTGTACTATCTACCTATCCCCGATATAGAGAGTACCTTGATTGCAAGGTCATTCACAGTAAATTTGCACCCTGGCTCTTACAACATTTCACCATTCTTGGAAAAACTTCTATTATCACAGTGTGCGATATCTAATAACAAAAGTGATGAAAAGAAAAAAGAATCTAAATGAAATTGGTTAAATTATATATATATAAATAAAAATAAATTAAAAATTCCTGGCATCCCTCATTCTTGTGCATGTGTAGTTGCACCAGCATAACAAATTTAGTCTGATGAAATCCTGAAGGATGAAACATGTCACAAGAAAACTTTTCAACTTTGTCATATATTTTTCTTCAATATTGTTCTTGATGTATAAAAATATATATTGTTGTCTTATATTTGATAAATTAAGAAAAGTTCAAGTGACTTATCTGGTTAGCCTTTTCATAATCTATTGAATATTATACCTTTTAATTACCTATTGAGAACTTTCTAGCAGAAGTTCTGCTCACCTGAAATAACATGTAAAATTCTTGTAATTTTCACATATTTTCTCAGTTCTAGTATATATATATATATATATATATATATATATATTTGAGCTATTATATAGTTAATCACATCTATGTATATACAGTGTCACTTGAAAGCTCGTGAACATAGATAGCCATTGTTATAGTGAATGAATTTAAAAATAAACTTATTAAATGGACATCCAAACATCAATTTGTAGACTTTCCAAATAATGAACACAAACAAAAGAAGGATGTATTTTAATTATTTATTTAATTTATTCTGAAGAGATCCTTCTTGTTTGAAAAGAGGAGTTCAATAATGACTCTTTGATAAAAAAAAATACTGACAAGTTATATATGAAAAATTCTACGCTTAAAAAAAAAAAATGTTTAAATTCTTAAATGACTTTCCTTTAGTTAACTTGATATTATTTAAGCTAGTACAATGGCCAGTGATTTTGTTTGTTTTTTGACGGCTAGAAAAAAAATAATGGTTTTATGTCAGTTATTGACACTGTTTCACATTTCTCAATCTTCCCCCTCCCTCTCTGACAATGTCAGGTGAGTGGATCATAGATGTCAAACTGAGCTTTGAATTATTTACACCAATAATTTTATTGATGCTTTAAAAAAACAAACGACTTCCTCCTCACCCTCTTTTGCTTTGCTTTTCCTCTCTTTGACTTTTCATTCCTCTCTTCACACATGTGCTATTGATTTCCCCACTTAAAACAAACCCCAAATCTGATCCTCTGTGATGAACAGGTTTCTTCTTGTCTGTTTCTTGATTGCACAATCAAGGTTGAGGAAACAGACATATTTGCATGAGACTTGAATACTCATCTTTTTCAAAAGGGAACAGAAGGAAATGACCATCAGAGGCACCATTTTACACTAAAGTCAACATCTCATTCACTATTCAAATACTATCTTTCTATTATAATTTTAGAATTTCTTCTCCCCCCCCCTTTTTTTTTAGTTCTGATAAAATTTTAGATAATTAGTTTTCTACTTTGAACAAAAGCCAGTATTGCAGTTTATGTATTCTTGAAATCTATAACTTAATTTTTACATATGTTTAATATGTAAAAATTAAGTTATAGATTTCAAGAATACATAAACTACAATACTATTGTCAATCAAATCAAATACACATTTTGTAATAGTTACAAAATAGGGTTTTAAAAGTATTTTTAGTAATATTAGAATATGAAAAGGCTTAATGGTTAAAATGTTGATTCTACTCATCTACACATACATAAACTTTGGGGATTTTACAAGTATAATTTTCCTGATTTACTATTTTGGTCTGAAATCGAAATTCTTTAAGTCTTTTGTGTTAATATGCCTCATCCAGTTATCCATTCAGATAGAATCTGGAACAGTTTGAGCCAAATTTATTAGTAAAAAACAATGAGAAATGTATCATGAAACTCTTTCAGTTGTTAACTTTGTTTTTGTATTTTATTGTTATTTGATATTTGTTGTTTATTTAATTCTTGTCTTGATTAGATTAACTCGTATAAATTGTTTTATTCTGTCAGAAGTGAATTTTGATAAAGGCTAATAGAAACTTATGAGGTGAAATCTCTGGCAAAATGTGTACGCATGTTTGTCTAATAGTGATAGTCCTTTTATTCTACTGTGCACATCTGTAGGAAAATGAAGTACAATCAATAAATAAAATAATGATGAATAATAATAATAAAAAAAAAGAAGAAATGCGTCTTCCTATGATGCTCACAATAAAGGAACTGGAAATATGATTACCACTCTTGGCTTTGTAAAATGCCGCTAGGTGGTGCTGTTAAAGTTTATAATAAGCTGTGATTTCTATAAAACAATAAACATTGAACTGAAAAAACAAAAAAACAAATTGATTTTGTGAAATATTTTAGACATTATCAGCTGGTCCTGTAAATCATTAATCCCCATCCCTCACATGCACAAAAGCACAAACACATACACACATTTCTGATCTGTTCTAAAACAGTGGCTCTTAACTTAATCATTATTTTAACTATTTCATTGTTTTCATCTAGTCACAATGATGTCTCATGGAACATTGAATAGAGTTATGATTTTGTTTTTCTTATCTCCTGTTTCTCAAAAGCCTTTAAAATAGGCACACTTGTTATATATTTATCAATATTTACTAATATATATTATATATGAAGATCAAAATGGAGAGAAAAAGATGATTGATTTATGCCAACTTTCCATGCAGGAGATCCTGTCTGTCTATGAATTAAGGTTGTTACACCATCTGAGTATTTAATATCTCTTTCTTTAATTACTTGGTATATTTCAAATAGTATTTTGATAACTTTGAGAGAAACAGAATTGATTTGGGATTTTCCATGATCCAAATTCTTTGAAAGATGTTTGAGTTTGTGTATTTCTCTTTTGATGCTGTCTAAAACATTGAAATTCTTGTGTAGATTTCCTATCTTCAGTGTCCTATGAAGAATAAGAAGTTAGATTCAGAATTTAAAAAAAAAATTGTTGGCTAATATTCATTAATCTGTGTCTATGCAAGTCACTTCCCATCCCAGGGTCACTTTTTTCAACATTTTCTTTATCAGAAAGTCTGTTTAAGAAAATGGCCTATTGCTTATTGTTAATTAAATATTTCCTTGAATTTTAGTCAACTTTCTTGTGCATGGTACATTAGTATCATTATGATACTAATGTACCATGCAAATAAATACTACTTGTGATATATTTCTTAATAAATTGCTTAAACCTTTCTACTTGTATTTTTGACTGTGCTGCATTCTGATACTTCAACAATACATACTTGTTCTTAAGATTAGATTCGAATACACTTGTTGATCAGAAAAATAAAACATTCATTGCTTGCTTTGGTTACATTCTGAATTTCTCTAATGCTTTTATTTGCTTGGGAAACATTATTCATACTATTCAAGTCCTTTGGATTTCTTCTTACAGATTATTGGACATTGTTAATTCATATGAAAATAAAATTCAGTCTTTGGAAAAAGATTTGGAATATTACAGGTAAGTTTTAGATGAATCTGTTGAATAGATAATCTTTTTTTGCTTAATCTGTAGGTTCAGGAAACAAAAAAAACTTGTGTTCATAATGATAATTTTATAATGCAAAAAATCTTTGATATTACATGTCACGTAAACATCAGTGAACGAATAAACTTATTTGTATTACGCTATGAATTTAACTGCATTTATTATTATTATTATTATTTGTTTATTTATTTATCTTTATTTCCACATATAATACGGGGATTGATGTTATTTAAAATTTTTGTAATGCTTTTCAAGTTGGGTATGTAGTAGAATTGTTTATGACAATAAAAAATAGCTTAGCAATAAGCTTTAACGGACTTTGCATAGCAGCAGAGTTCTATATGTGGTCAGAACAGATCCATTAATGGGGGAAATGGATCATTCTCCCCTTAAAAAGGGAAGCAGTCCCTGAATTGAGCAGGGATCGTTTGTGGTCTGCGAGACCATGGTGGATTGCCAGGATCATGAAGTTCTTTCCCTTTCTTGATAAAACTGGATTTAATCCTGTTGCATTTTCATAATCTTATACAAGAGCTCAAGGGTTCCTTGTAATCTTCAAATAGAGTTCATGATTCTGTTTCTTCAAAATCGGTTGAAGTGTCCTCTGGACAACCCTTGCTTGGGCTTGTGGGTTATCTGTTATTTATCTCCTGATGGAGCCAAATCTCTTAGACTGTGTCTTCATGTCCATCAGGGTAACATTCACATGGATACTGGGGGTTGATGTCTATCTGCTCTGCTTGATCCACTATCATTCTTATTCCGTTGCATAGTGAGGTCTCTGATATTACTGCAATTGTATTGTAATTTTTAGCATTTTGTTCTGCTAAATTTAGTACTTTTGCCTGGTCATGGGCCTGCTGTAATGTTGCTGTTTTCAACTATTCATTGTCAGATATCTGTTGACTGTAGCTCGTTTATGAAGGCATCTTGTGTTAATTGGGCACAATATTCTTCCACTGATACTGAAGAAAATGAACTGTTCTTATTAGTTTTATTAAGTTGTGATAAAATCTGTGAGTAGAACCTGAGTGTAGTTGACGCCTTGTAGCCAGTAAGTGGCTAGAGACCATTTCACTTTTCTTTTTTATGTAGATCCTGTCCAGTATTGTTAATGCTTCTTTGTAGAAAAATGTATTCACAAAATACTTGTAAACTTGTGCTGAGACATATTTTGTGAGATAATGCAACTTATTAGAACTTTGGTCGCAATATGTACTCAAGAAGTTTATGAAAAGTATTCTCCAGTGATGATATTTCAGTTCGGTGTCAAACACGTTGGGGTCAATAGAAAGTTTCTCTGAACAGAGTAAATTAACCATTATCAAAATGCTTAACAATGAGAGTTCATTAAATTGTAGTAGAATTATTTGTGACACTAAGAATTAGCTTATCATTAACCTTTAACGGACTCTGCATAGTATAGACTGTGGTCAGGACAGATCCATTAATGGGGGAAAAGGGTCATACTGCAGGATGTCACTTTGGATGTTTTTGCACCCCACCAATGAGAAGAGTGTCAATAAAACTTAGATAATCACCATGTTCTTGAGAAAACAATTCTGGTGCAGGCTTTTAAACATCTTATGAGAATTCACTATCAATGCTAACCCCTGCACTGTGAGTCACTCCTTTATTAGGACACTAAATTCATCTAAAAAAAAAAAAATGGATGCTTTTTTTTTTACTCATTGTTTCTTTACTTTTCATTGTAAAATGTTTGCATTTGTATTGATCAAATCAATTATTTTTTACCTTTTTATTTAAATGAAAAATATTGGTTGTTTTGGAATGAAAAAAAATTGTAAAATACAATACATGCAAAATATTTTCATCTATGAGGACCAGGGTGTCTGTTTAATCAATTTGTATTGCATTCAACAACTTTTGAATTTCTGTTTTAACAATGTTCTACTTCAAAAAAAAAAAAACTTTAATAAAATATATATTTTTTTTTTCTGGAAATTTGTGATGATTTATATTACAAAGATTTTACACACACATCACCTATATAGCTTTGGCCTCTTTATTAATTTTGGTCTTAATATTTTTGTAGGGTAAAGCACAAAAACAGAGATACAGTTTTTGATCAAGATGAAATGAGTACAAAGATGCAAGATGTCATATTAGTAAGTTGACTTTTTTTTATTTTTTTTAAATATGCTTTTGTATTTTAAGTATTAACAAGAATTTTACTTTGTGTAACTTACTTAAATTCTTAAATTCTCTCTTGTTTCTTTGTTTCTTTTGAGACTAGATAAAAACAGATTTTTTATTTGATTTTATAAGTAAATTTTATTGATAAATTGTATTTTTTATCTTCTGCAATATACAATATGAAATAGAGAATAATTGAATTAGAAGTGTTTACTTGTGTCAACCAATTTGGATCCAAATTTTGTAATAGTTAATATGTTGTTAGTGGTATATACAGAGGCTTAATGTTTATAATGTTGATTCTACCCATCTACACACATGAACTTTGGGGATTTTACAAGCATAATTTTCCTGATTTACTGCTTAGGTTTAAAACCCAAATTCTTTAGTCCTTTTGTGTTAATGTGCCACATTCAGTTATCCATTCAGGTAAAATCATAAACATTTTGAACTTTGATCTGTTAGTAAAAAAACAATGAGAAATGTATCATGAAACTCTGTTTTAGATCAGCTTCATGTTTTTTTGTTTTTTTTTATATGATTGTTAATAGAGCTGAGAAGGAATGTAAAGAAACTAATGCTTTCTCACTTTTATAGAAATATGATAAACAAATCAAAGAATACAATGAGAAAATCAAATTTCTGGAAGAGCAAATTGAAGTCCTGAAACTGGATGCAGAAAGCAGGTAGGTTTTAAGTTCAAATTCAAAGAAATACATCACAGCAAAGAAAAGGTAAACTGTAGATATGAAAAAAAGAAAAGAAAAATATCAACTTAGCATTTTTCAACATTTAAATGAGTTTTGAGTCTAGAAAAGAAAATGGTTTTCCTAAGAGTGGGTCAGTGATTCCCAAATGGTGCGACACGCCTCATAGGTGCAGTAGAAGAGAATAGCAGGTGAGGCAGAATGATTGAAAGACAATCAAAGGTTTAGGAAACAATTTCGAAAAAATTCATATGCCAAAAATAAATTTAAAATAAAATCAAACAAATGTAATTTCAAAATTTCAAATATTATTATGGATTAATTGTAATTGTATGCATGAATCCCAGTATAAATAGTTTTAAATAATTATTGACCATTTTTATCATTGTGATATTTTTGCATTATATTTGAAATATTAATATAGTGACTGGGCTCTGCAAATTGGAAGAGGGTGTTATCAATGATAATGTTCTGACTTCGAATTCCTGATTATCTCCCTTTAACCCTCTCTTTTTATTTTTAAATGTCCTTTTTATCCCAGAAATTTGGTGAGGTGCGAGCAAATTTTCATTACGATAATGTGGCCCAGAGAAAAAAAAGTTTAGGAACCACTGGAGCGGATCATTCCTCAGGAAGAAATTTTAATATAATTTTTCATTTCATTATTATAAATTTATACTGTTGTAAGTTTTAACTGTTGTATTGAACAGATTTTAGTATGTACTACTTAGTTCCTAGTGTTATTTCTCTTAGATTTTCTTAATTCCCTTGATGAGGAGTTATCATAATTTGCATCTTTGTTGTTAATATCACATTCCAACCATTGTGCTTTCTGGCCTTCTTCAGGTGCCTGTCAATCTGGGTAATCTTCAAGGAATTTTGAACTGGACAACGTGTTACTTATCTACATGGGGGTAGCGTGTTCTTGTTCTGTTGTCTATGTCTAGGGATATCTCATCTTCTTTTTTTAATACTAATCTCTTAGTCTAAATCTGTTCTACATGGACCAGGGCTTCAACTCACAATTACTATACCACCAAATTCATGAACCAAAACTTTAATCTCCACTGTTATGGCCCCGTGCGATAATCCTGAATCTTGGACATTAGATTTAGGGCTCCTATTTTTAGATTCAGAGGAATATAATGATTGGAATTTTGTGATAACAACAACAAAGATGAGGACATTAGTCTGTAAGTGATATTTTCTTTGTAAGGTATCTGTTGAGAGATTTCCATTGTAAGTATTGCTGGACATTCTAAATTTTTATATCAGGAAACTAGCCATTTGACAATCTAATCATTTGTGTCTTTTTTTCTTTACTGTTGTTTACTCAATAAAATGCCCAAGAGCCGCTCAATATAGAGTGTTACTAAATGAAGTTGTAAGGGTGTACTGTGGGATAGGGGAACAAGAAGTGCATATTATGATCATATGTAGAATAGTTGGTTGACTCTAGACTTGAAGAAGTTAAGATTATAGTGATTGAGAAAGCATCCTCTTGGGAGTTCATTTCACAATGCAGCAATTCTGAGGAAGAAGCTGTTTGAGTGGAAATCAAATTGGAAGAAGTTTGTTTTGAATATTTTTATTTTTCAGGCCACAGATGAAAGAATTTCGTGCCTTACAGCAACAAGCAAAGAAAATGAAACGCTTGCTAGATTACTATAACATTAGGTCAGTTCCTATCTTTCATTTATTTTATTCAACAACATTTTTTACTTTTTTAAATTATTTCTGAGTCAATTGGTGTATGTTGGTAAATCAATAATTCAATAGCCTGAAAAAAAGAACACATTTACTTTATGCAACAAATGTTTATTTATTAATATTAATTAAGAAATGATGAATAATATAGTGAAAATTTCAGATCAAATTCAGTTAATAATTGTGTCTATCTACAGACTTACTGATCCACCTTTGTAAATTTAGCAACCATTTGCCATAACATTGTTACTTTCTGTTTATGAATTTTGGTTCTAAATTTCAGAGACTGTAATTATTAACATTTGTTTATTCCTATAGATGATTTAAGTTCTAGAAATTCAGAGTTTTTTGAAAATAAAATTACTAAAAAAAAAATTTTTTTAAATTACTTTCCTCATGGAACATAGATAAAAATTGACTGAAAAGATGATTTAGTATTTTAATCAGATTTTTCATTACATAAAAGTTTGACAGAATTTTTGTATTATCAAATATTTACACCTTCATGAAAGTGATTTTTTTAAATTTTTTTTTTTATTGTTTATGATTTTCAGATTGCTTCTTTCTGAAATAAAATAAGAACTGAATTTTCACTGTTAACTTAATTTTTAAATATTGCACACATAAAACAGTCGATTAACTTTGTTCAGAATGATTCATCTGTTAATTAAACTGCTTAAACTGCTAAAAGCTAAACTGTTTATATGTCTGTACAAAAGTCCTCAGTTTAACTGTGATCTCTATTTATTGTTCATTACTTTCATATCAAAGCCTCTGAATTTTTTTCAATTATTTTTTTTTTTTTTTATTTGTGCCATGGAAACAACACTTTTGACTTGGCTATAAATAAAATATTCTATAGTATTGAAATAGATTGTAAATCTGTAAATGGATGTAAATTTTTCTCTGTAGATATGTGCCTGATGAGTCTGGATCTTTCCCTAATGTTGTATCTCATAAATATAACACCAATGTGGACAGTATAGACATGTTGCCTTTTTATAGCAGTAAACTTTACTTACAGGTCAGTCACTTTTAAAAAAAAAGACATCTGAACATTTACTACCCACCCTTCTATCTACACTTTCTCTTCATACCATTTACTGCCTTTAGATACCATTGATTAGTTAAGTAGCTTTGGTTAAAAATGATCTTTCTCTGGTTCTGTTTCATTATGATAATCGTTTTTTTTAAAAACTCTAAAGTTCTATCCTGGAAATATTTATTAGTTCTAGTAACCTTGAATTTTTGTAACATTGAATTCACACAATTTTATTTAGACTCTCTGTTACTGTGCATCATAAGAAAGAAAACTCCGACATTAGACATAAGAAAAAAGGGGGCAACCATTGATTTTCATGCCCACAAAATATGGAGTGTCAAAAGGACGGATTTTCCCAAGACATTGCTTTTATTTTAACTACTACTCTGCAAATATGTATTTTGTTTTAAAAATCAGTGATGATTAGAATTGTAATAAAACCTAAGCATATGATGAAAGGGAATTTATACATTTTTTTTTTCTGTTTTTGAAAATTTACAACAAAAATATTAAACACTGTTTATTAGATTTTATATTTACAACATTCTAAAAACTAATACGATTGTATTAAGACTATTGCAATGCAATATTTATCATTTATGAATTTATAAAGATATAAATATGAAAAAATTTTTTATTCATAAACATTTACTAAATCATTAAAATGTGTAAATAAAAAATGTAATCAATAAATAGTGTTTATTAGTTTTGTTGTCAATTCTCAAGAACAAAAAATGTATAAATTCAATTTCATATGTTTAGGTTTTATTATAATTCTAATCACTGCTTTTTAAAACAAACATTGTTGAAGAGTGAAGGTAGTTAAAATAAAAGCGGTGACTTATGAAAAATCATCCTTTTGACATTTTATTTTTTTGTAGGCACAAAGGCCCATGTTTACCAAAAAACATTTTGAGATGAAAGTTTCCATCAAATGATTTTTTTATTTACTAAGTGCATCACAAAATCCCAATCCATCAAATAGTATTGCTGTAATGGAAATAAATAATAATTATAATAATGTACTAATATTACTCAAGGTCTTTGTAAACATTTTCAAAAACAAATGAAGTCATCAGTGAACAACTGATAAAAATCATATCCATAGACTCTTTGGTGTAATTTCACAGCTTCATTAATTTGAATGTATTTTGATTTATTAATCAGTTTTGTTTCAACAATTGAATTCATTAAAAAGATTTTTCACAATTATTGTTTAGCTATTATTATAGCTTCCATATTGTTTTTTTTGCTGAGTGAAAGGAAAAAACTTGCAGTTTTCCATTCACTTGTGCATAAAATAATTGAAATCAGACCAACCACTGCTTTGTCATCCAAGTGTTATAGTAGTTCCTGTTCATTTTGTTTTTAGGCTGCTAAAATATTTTCATTAATTGTTGAAGATAAACATATTGTAAAATCATGTTTGTAAAACTTATTAATTGACCATTTTAGGATATTTGTCAAGAACTAGAAGTTGAGGATTTAGATGAAATTCTTCCATCTCTTCAAAAACTGAAACACAATGCTGAACGTGCCAATAAATATAAACAGGTAAGTGTGCAACATAATTTGCCCTCTATTATTTTAGTGCCTGAAATCTTGTCTTTGCTAATTTATCATTTTTCAATAGGGTATTAATTCATGTATTTTAATCATATTACTTGCGGTTATAGGACAACTGCCCTATATAGCCCATAATTTGCAATTTTAGTTGTATAATTATAGTGATATAAAAATATAAATCTTATTGGATAATATGAAATGTAACAATTGATTATTGTAATTATTAATTTTTTATAACCATTAGTTTAACCAGACAGTTATTAATTATGTAATTAGTAATTACTGTATTTGTGTATAGCCGACAATTTGCAATGTTAGTGGTATAATTCTAGTGATATTAAACTATAAATCTTATTGGATGACAGATAAAACATGAAAATAAAATCCTAATTGGTTTTATTAGTATTTATTTATTCAATAGTTGTGCTTTCTATTAATTTTCTCTTAATGGGGGAAATTGTCTGGTGGGGGCAGTTCTCCCAATACCATTATTTGGTATCTTTCTGTTGCTCTAGAGTAAAAATCTATATCAGAATACTGGAGCAGAACTTTTTATACAAATAACTGATTAAAACAATGAGAACAAAAAAAAATTGATGATAAAATTATTAAATTCACATTAAATTTTCCCTTTCCTGTTTATTCTAATAATCATTTCCTTATTTTGTATTGGAAACACATGAATATTGAATTTTCTCTCATTGTTTAGTTTAGCATAAAAGTATGTGGTTTGGTGCAGCAGGTTGGCCATGATGATGATGAAAGATTTACTCGACATTCAATCAAGAATGGCATATCTGAAGTTGCCCTAAAACATGTGCAGGAGACTTTGGTCCAATGGACAGAGGATCTGAAAAGCTTAGAGGTAACTTGATTGTTATGTACTTGAAAATGAAGCAGATCAGTGTCTTTTGAGTTGTTTCAAGATTTTCTTGTTTGGATAAAGCAATCTAGTTTGTTTTTGTTTTAAAATAAAATGTACAATTAGGAAGATGTGTAATTAAAAAAATTGTTTCCAATGTAAAGTAATTGTTGCATCAACAAACAAATTTGTAAACTTTTGTACAAACAAATACTGAAAGTTCTCAGTCTAACTCAATTTGGAAAATTTGGCAAAATAACTGAACATTGGTTTTTATTTTATTTTATATATTTATTTTTTTGAAGGGTTTTTTGTTGAGCCAAGAACTTTCAGCACATCCTAATACTGAGATGACAATTCCTTGTTAGATTACCATGATGTTCTTTTCTGGAGAATGAATCAAAATGAACATTTAGGATTTTTAAGTCACACACACACACACACACACACACAGAAAAAGAAAAATGCCCTCCTCCTCCTGAGAAAGTTTTTTTTTTCTACTTTCAGAATCTTGTGACAAGTATAAATGAATTGGTTGTTATTGCTGCTCCTTGGTCAAAAGTACAAATTTATCCAAGTGATTCTTTTGAAGCTATGTCAACAAAATTAAGTGGAATCAACCAGAAAAAAAATTATTCATTTATAAAGGTTAGTTGTTACTTTTCCTTGGCTGGTTGTTTTGTTGGTGTTTCTTATTCTGTAAATTGTCAATCACAAGCTTTTCAACTGCACATTCTCACTATGCTTGGTGATACAAAAACTAAAGTCATTATATCTTATTTTTATGTAAGCCTCAATTTTCCTCTACTGTTTATTTAATTTTATTGGATTCATTTTTAAAATTGTAGGAAATTAAAATTTTTCTTTTTTTAATAATATAGAAAATTAGTAGATCCATTTTTAATACTGTAGAAAATTATTTGATATATTTTTTTTTATATTGTAGAAAATTATTTACACTGTTTGGACTGTTATCCTCATCTTCATTGCCATATTTACAATGTTTCGGACATTGTATGCTCCAGCCTTCTTCAGGTGAATGGAATTTCGAACTGAACTCTTTATTTTGTTCACCGGGGTAGATTGTTCTAGTTTCACATCTCTTTTGGATGTTCAGTATCAGTTATTTTCTTTTAACTCTTCAAGTTTTTGTTCACCTCTGCTGTAGCCAGGTATTGAACTCACAACTCTTGGGGCCAAGTCATTGGATTCAACCAATGCTTTTATCCATTGGATGGACATCAGTGTATAAGTTTTTGGGACTTATAAACCTAATGTCTCAATATCATTTTTTACCAGAGCTCATATTACAATTTTGTTGTTATTATTGTTTTTCTTTAGAACTCCATATTACTGATATTGTATTCATTTCTGTACTTGGCCAGCTTATAAGATTTTTGTGGCCTAGTGTATGTGCTGATTCCTTAAGTTTTTGTATTTTTCAGTGATGTTCTCTCTCTATTATTTTAACTCCATCCCACAGAGGGTGGTGATCTCACTTTTCTCTCCATATATAGTCTGCTATGCCTGATTTTTAGATTTCACCTTGTGTCATAGCTTTACACTGTTCCTGCAGTTTTATCTTAATCATGTGACCTGTTTATATTTCTTACCACAGCTGCATGGGATGGCATTTATACAGTCCTTAATCATTTTCTCTTCTATGGAAGGTCTTATTCAGAAGAGGTGTCTATGAATTTTTGAACCACTTTTGAAGGTCGTCCTGATGTTATATAGACCACAGATATTTTGTATTTTTTCCAATAATCCCTTCATGAAAGGTAGGCAGACCAAGGCTGTTTACTGAGTGTTGTTATCATGGGAAAGCACCCTTCTATCCCAGTTTGTCAGAGCTGCTGTCATGTACCCAGGGTAGTTGTTATGTTGTAGGGTACTGCTTATACTGACCATTTCTTGTTCATCTGTCTTTGGGCTGCCACTTACTTGATGTTGTAAGCAACAGACAATCCCTTTCTTTACAGTCAGCATCTCTATCAGGTTATTTATTGGTACACTGGTACGTTCCCCTAAGGTTGAATCCAAGGTCAGTCTATCCCTGAATACCGATAATGCCTCCTCCATGGGTACCTTGGTGAATCCATTGACTTGACCCAAAGAGTTTGTGAGTTCATTACCTATCTACAGCAGAGGTGAACAAAAACTTGGAGAGTTGAGTTAAAAGGGAGACAATTGATACTGAAACATCTGGAAGAGGCATGGTACATGGAACTAGAACAATCTACCCCGGTGGATGAAATAAAGGGTTCTGTTTGAAATTCCAATCACCTGAAGAAGGCCATAGTGTACAACGGCCAAAACATTGTGAATATGGCAATGAAGATGAGGGCAACATTTCAAACAATGTAAATAGTTTAAATAATTACAATACCTCATCTCAGAAATATAGATGGATATTGTAGAAAATTATTTGATCTATTTTATAATATTATAGAAAATTAAAGTGTTCATATTTAAGCACAGTTGTTTTCATCTATAAGAAAATGTTTCTTAAAAATTCTTCAGTATTTGCATTTTTTCTAAGTTCAGTTAAGAACTTTAACTTTATTTAAAAAAATATTAGCTCTTGTCTAATAAATTAGGTTTATAAATACATAACCCTGTAACTTTTGAGTTTTTATCTGTCTCAAGATGCAAAGGATTTTGTTTTTTAGAGTTTTGACAGGTTATTAAAAATGTTTTACACTTAAAAATTGTGTATAATTTAATTATTTTAGATCTGGTAGATGCATGTTGTGGTATAATAATCTATTCATATGTTACTCGTGCAAATTTTACAAGTATGAGATTATTTTATTGCTTTTGTTTGAACTCAGTTCACAAAGTTTTAGCTCTATTTCTTGCTAACTCTAGTTCGACTATAATTAGATCCCCAGCCTGAGTTGTTCTATGGTCTTCTATCTTACCACTAAGCCCTAAATGCAATGTTTGTAGTCTAGATTTCTTACTTGATCTAATAAAAGATCTGCTTATGTTCCCTATTGTATATATATGTATATAGGCAGCATATCTTTATTCAAAAATATTTCATTGAATAATATAGGCATATTATGTCTATTTATTTTTATAATGATCATTTCTAGATCTCTAATCAGATTCTTGATGTTAAGAATTTGATGAATTTCATCTTAACATCAAGAAACTGATTAGAGAACTGGAAAGGATCATTATAAAAATAGATATAATATGCCTATATTATTCAATGAAACGCGTGTGTGTGTTATTTGTGGTAACTCTTTGTTAGTATTTAACAATATATCTAAAGTCTGATTTACTAAAATGTAGCATCTATTTTCAATTGGAGTAAAGAATGTATATATTATAAAAAAAACAAAACAAAATTCAATTTTTTTGTGATCATTGTTGAAGTTTTTATTGCAACAACAAAGGTTTCTTTTCTGTTACCTTCTGCTCCTTAATATATTAAGACAAGAGATATAAACATTCAGAGAAAATTCCCTACCTCCATCAGAGAAATGTAATGTAAAAGCTGACATGATTATTTGTAATCCTGTAATATTCTCTGTGTGGCCCAAAACTGTATGAAATAATAGTGTCCTGTTTTAATGCTGTGAAAATTTGATTAAATGTTTGCCTAATAAGGGAGAATTTCAAATGTTTGGAGAATTGTTAATCTTTAAAGGAAGCCTGACCTTTACTCTTTCTATTCATGTGAATGATTTAAGCAGTTTTTTTGTTTTAAAGCTTAAAAGAGACTTAGAACATGAAAGCCAACCGTAAGGCTTTAAGAAAGAGAGATGCATAAATCCCTAGGATTATTATGATCTCTAATGTCTGATCTTTTCCAAAAATATCAAATATTCTTGTCAATATACACCTTGAAGGCTTTCATGACAGAATCTTTCTTCTTTTATGTGCTGTATCCATTCAGAATGTGGTCAATCTTGGATCTTCACAATTTTCTGTTCTTTGTATTTCTTGGTAAATTTTGTCTTTTCGCTATCTCTCCTACTCTTTGTTCTGCTAACCATTTACACAAGCTCATTAGGTAGATTCTGTATTGCTTTCCTCTTTCCCACTTGCCTTCACTATGTTCTGTGAGTGTCAAATTTTCCAAACCCTCTTTCTTCATTATGTGCCCTAGAAATTTCAACTCTTTTTCCTGATGTTAAGTATAAGTGTCTTTTTTGCTTACATTTTCTCTAAAATGTTGTATCTTTTAGATTTTGTAAATTAGTTGGTTTTGAATATATTACAATATAAATCCAATTACTAAATGCACCCCACTAATTTTTGTTTTCATGTATTTTTTACAAACTGTTACTTTTTTTGTTACCATTTTATTAACTTCCTTTAAAGATTTTTATTTTATTTTTTTGAACAGGAAGAAAAAACGTCACGTGCCATGTTGGAGAATATAGTCCACCATTTTCAGATGTTATTTGATATACGTTCCATTTCTGGTGTCTATCCAACAATGAACCAAATCTATACTAAAATTGGAGAGCAACAAAATGTGATGAAGATATTAAAAAATTATTTAGGATTAGGTAACTGGCACTTTATCAAATTTACTTTTAGTAATTTTATTCTGTTAATAAGCAACATCTTTTTTTTTATATAACATTTGCAAATTCTTATTGACTGATAAAAAAATATTTTTCTTAATTGTCTCTTACATTTCAAGTTTATATGGACTTTTGTTAATGTCTTTGTCTCCTGTTTTTTTTTATTTTAGTTCTATATTTAAAGTGTTGTGTGATATGACATACATAACAGACTAATAGTGGGTAATTGAATGACAAAACGGGAGAAATCCTATGTTACACTAGGGCAGGTTGATTTTTTATTTTTTATAGGAAATCAGCATTGCACTCGGTTTAAAAGCTGGGGTTTGATGTAATAAATGCTGACACCAAAAATTAGATTCAGAGCTTTTATCAATTTTTGACCATTTATTTTTTAAGATTGTCTGAAAAATGTACAGAAATACCTAATTTCTGCATATTTTTGCTTATAAACTGATTTTAGAATTTTACTATTTCAAGAATAAATCCAAGTAAAATTGATATTTTTTTGTATTAGATAGACTGAATGGAAAATATATTCAAACCAGAATTCTAATTATAAATTACCGCAAGCAAAATATATATTTTATTTTCATTTTACTGTATTCAGTAAGTAAAAACTGTGTTAAAAAAAATTGTCAAAAAAGGCTACTCAATAAATAAGATTTGTTAGATCATAATTAATATAAACCAAACATAGATAAAGGTGTATATAACACCATAATACTGCTGGATACAAATTATAAGACGGTGTTTTAAATTTGCATTGTTTATTGAAAATCACACTAAAATTACTGCACTGTGTCACATATTACATAATAATTTAGCTAAATATTCAGTATAATTTCCCTTTGAAGTAAATGAAGATTTGATAGCACAATGATTCAGTAATGAAGAATAAGATTTGTTCGATCATAATAAAAACAAAAATAAAATTGTTAAAAATACCATAATACTGCTAGGCACAAATTATAAGACAAAATGTTTTAAATTTTCATTTTTTATTGAAACTAAAACTACTGCACATATTGCATCATAATCTAGCTAAATTGTTCAGTATAATTTCTCTTTGAAATAAATGAGGGTCTTATTTGATGGCACAATGATTTATATATGTACTTTGCTTTTGTCATGCGTCTTGTCCATATACAATTTGTAAAGCTTCAGTAAATTATAAGTTTTATAAGGCTTTCACTGATCACTGGAATGAAATTCCAACACTACAATTTTCAACCTGAACCTAATTTTTAAATTCGTTTCCTCAAAAAACGGTAATGATTTTGAAAAAATATGTTTTGTATCATTATTTATCATGCCAAATCTCAACTTTCAAATTGAGTGTAATACCACAGTTCCAAAATCAACCTGTCCTAATGTTACACATTTTGTCCTTTGAAAGGATTTCTTCAGACTAATGTTCTTAGCAATGGAATCTTATCTATGTGATGGGGGTGGGAGTGAATAAAATACAACAAATGTCAGTTAAAGTTCTACATTGAGAAATGTTGAAGATACAGGGATGATTAACTTCAAATTTAAAATTCCTGGCATCTGATGTATCCAGTTGTAAAACAGCCAACTGTATTCAGATTTCTAGCACTTTGTTTTTTTATTGCTATTGCTTTTAAATATCTCGCATTGTAATAGCTAATTTTAGGAAAGCACATATGTTATATGATACTGGACATAAATTCTGAAATCAGTGCACTTTCAATACATTTTCACCTTAATAAATTTGGATATGACTTAAAATTACACCTGATAATGAAGCCTCAGCTAGAGGACATAATTAGGGTATCCCAAATCATTGTTACCTATGGGTGAACTTTGCCTAAGAACTAGCATCTGTTTGCGTGTGTGTGTGTCTATATATATATATATATATATATAATTTCAGTGAGGGGAAACAAAGATTTTTACCACTTCAAGCCAAGCACATTGCCATATTTCTTACCAGAGTGAAACTGTTACTGTGTTTGCTTCCTTTTTTTATGAAAGAATGTAGATTGTTGGTGAACTATAAGTTATCCGTGATTGGACTATACATTGCCAAGAGATTTTGCAGTGTGATATAAAAAATGAGGAAAGTTGATGGATGGCACACAATTCGATATCCGATTAGTATCAGCTAGGTGGAGAGGTGGGTATGATGTTGAAAGTCCTAAAACCCCTAATGAACCTTGGCTAAAAATATCACTGATGATGTGTACCAAAGCATCAAGCAAATGTATTTTACAAAATTAATTTCTGATTTAATTTGAGATGTTTTATAAATGAAAACAAGAAATGCTTTTGTTTTAAAACCAACTTCAATCTTTTGTTTCAGTGAATGTTTTTCTTTATGAAAAAGTAGTAAATTGTGTAAAGTCCATCAAAATATTCTATGGTCAAGCTTTTCAGTAGAATCCATCTTTGCTTCTTTCAATGTTTCCAACTAATAATTACCTTCCTAGTTCACATCTAACTTAACTGTTTAGAATTTAGTCAGAATATCAGTCAGTTACGTGGCATGCGTGATACATGCTTAGGTGATCATGTATCTTTTGATACATGACTGACGAGGCAGATTTTTTCCTCACAGTAGGTTGCCATTTCTTTCTGTGGTAGACCAGTTGCCATCCAAGGCCATAGAATCTCGTCTGACCTTGCTAATTACCTGTTGCTGGGGGAAGAAGAGGAGGATTCATACCTTTCCCAAGGGTATTAACATGTAAGTGGGTGTAATGGATTCAACCAGAATTCAAACTTGGCTCTCCAATTCCTCAATCCAAGACACTATCCATTACTCCACTGTGCTGCCTTAAAAATCAAAATAAATTACAATAAACACATATCAATATATGTAGCTTTGCTAATTCCATTTTTTTTTCTTTACTTTCAGATCCTTCGGCAAAACCAACCAAAGTTGTTGATGCTGTTTCCCAACTGTGCCAAATACACAATGCAACAACCTCGACTCAACTGAAACAACTTTTACAGACTGAAGATTTAGAAGGGTAACTTATTTGATCGAGTTATCTCCCTTACCATCAAATTCTAATCTCTGCTTTCGGCAGACAGTAGAATTTCATGTTTCTCTATGAGTCATGTTCTTTCAGGATGTGGGCGATTTATGGTTCTTCACAGCTTCCTGTCTTTTTGTTGCTCCTTCACACACTCTCTTTGTTCTTAATTTATTTACTTAAACTTGACAAGTAGGTTAGTGAACAGTTGTAAAGTAAGATTGAAGACAAGAAAATAAGAAAAGAAGGGAGAAAGCTTAATAACCTAATTTAGTATTTCAATTGTAATTGTCAGTATACTTGTATTATTTCGAACTAAATTCACACCTTTCTTGATATAGTTCTTCTTAGTATCCATTGATTGGCTGATGTAGGGTATCTATTGATGATTGTGATATTCTTGTCCCAGTTATTGTTCATTCCTGCTGAATCAATGCTTCACTAACTGATCAAGAGATTGAACTCACAATAACCAACTCCTATATCCACAGTACTACTGTCCCAAAGGACATTAGTGGTATGTTTATGAAATCTTTTATATTCAATGTCAGATGGATTTTAACATCTGATTATCATGGCGGGTTCGTACTGTTTTTCATAAATTAGTATTTCAATCCAGTGATGAGTAATTGTCATTATACTTGTATTATTTTGAACTATTGTTCTCATCTTGGTTGATATAGATATTATAGATATATAACATTAATCAGCAGATATAACCATACCAGCCAATCAATGGACACCTGATGATGACCAGAGAGTACTTGTCGAAACAATGTGTTTATAAAAGTAGATTTAAAAATAAAGAAACAGAGAGGGTTAATGGGAGATAACTACGAATTCATAGTCAGAACATTATCATTGATAACTTTCTCCTCCAATTTGCAGAGTCTAGTTATATTATTAATACTTGATATAATGCAAACAGTCAGTAATTATTTATGACTATTTATAGTGGGACTCATGCATGTGATTACAAGTAATCCATAATAATATTTTAAATTTTGAAATCATATTTATTTTTGGCATATGAATTTTTTTTTTAACTGTTTCTAAATCTTTGATTGTCTTTCAATCATCCTGCCTCACCTGCTATCCTCTTCTGCCACTTCTATGAGGTGCATAGCACTGTTTAGGAACCACTGCTTTGAGGTATTATATATCTTTTGTGTAGATTATTATAGTAACATGAACAAGTATGTATTTTCATGCATATGCATTATATACAGGAAAATAGGTAAAGTAGCTTGTTTGAAATCCAATATTGTTTCATCTTTTTAGATTTAATTCTGTCTAAAGATGGTTTTATTTCAATATTTTGTTTTATTTTCTGTTTCTTTCAATAATCTAAAAATACTTGTTGAATAAAACAACTTTTTTTTTTTTTTTTTTTTTTATTCCATTTTATTGCACTTTGTATTAAACAGAAAATTCTGTTCCATGATTTATTCATCTGTAATTTCTAACCATTTTTTTTTTCTTGATAAATAGAGGCTGGCTTATTGTCCACATTTGTCTTTCTTTCAGAAGATTGCGTTCATAAATCTTTCCAATCTCACTAACCCAGAAATGGAATGTCTGATTGTAGGCTTTTAGCTTAATTCATTTATTTTTGCTTTTTCTAATATCTGTTCAAATTTATTTGTAGTCATTATTGTTTTAATTTCTACTTTTTGTTTTTTGATTAGTATTGCTTATTATTCTTTATATTCATCTCGTATTTCTTAATGTAATATTTGACAGCATCATTGGACGGTTGGAAGAATATAATATGTTCTTTCCAGCATTTCGGCAAGTTATGTCAGAACTTTTAGAAATACTTTGTAAGTATTTTTTCTTTTACATTTTTGACTCTATGGGATCCTACTATTTAAAGCATATCTGTACTGTTCTTCTATGTGCTGTGTCCCTTCAGGATGTTGAGGGTTATGGCTCTCCACAATTTCCTGTCCTTTATAGCTCTTAATAAATTTTGTCTTCCAGATGATAAACTACCTCCGTGTCCTGGGTAAGACGATAAACTACTTCCAACAGGAGGTTTTGAGAAGTGTGGAACCGCCTCAATTGCTGGTGTTCCCAGGTCCACCCTGACCCGGAGTGGTAGCACCTGTTAGGGTCCCAGCTATGGGCAAATAGTTAACACCCAAACTTGTGTAAAAGTAGGTTTTAATACCAGAAATACATTTTAATGATAAAAAAAAAATTATTACCAGCAATAATGTTTGAAGGAAAAATTATCAGCAATACTTTAAAAAAAATACCAGCAATACAAACAGCTATACATTTTTTGAAAAAAATATTACCAGCTATAGATTTCTTCAAGGAAAAATATTCCCAGAAATAGATTTTTGAAGAAAAACATTACTGGCAATAAAAATTTTGTCGGCATTAAATAACCCATTGAGGTTGATACGCTGTAAAACAAACCAAACTAAAAATTTTGTCTTAAATTAAGTTTAAACGAAATTTATTAAAATAATAATAGGAATATATAAAGGAATATATATATATGTTAATATAGAAATATGTAAAGACAGGTTATGCTATGCTTTAGATTAGTCGTGTTTGTTTAACTTACCAGTTGAGATTCATTTTTAATAACGTATCTTTGGAATGTGGCAAAGAAGACTTTTTTTCGCAAATCTATCACACCAAAATATCAACTTCAGTTTTTCTATTTGTGTTCTTGCAGAATTCTGCAAAGTTCATCATCAAATAATCATGGAGAGACATGGTGAAAGATTTCTATACACTATAATTGCTGAAAAAAAACAATGTTTTAATTAAAATTTGCAACAAATGTAATTTATTAATTTAAATTGTATCTGTATTTTATGAGTGTCATACAAAATGTATTTGCTTTCCTGAAGGAAAATGGTTTAAAATTATTCCACAATTCTATGGTCAAATTATTGTTGTTTTTTGTTTTTTTTCTCCAGATTTTACTTCCGGAAAAAAAAAAAAGTAACAATATTAGAATAATTAATTTAATTTTCATTCTTAGAAGATATTCTTTCATTATTTATTGATTTCATACATCTCACAATAGGTTTATCACTATTTATTGATTCCTTTTACTGGGATGATGATAAACTACATCCGGCAGCATGGCCTCTGATTGGGAGATTGGAGTTTTTGAGGACTGGGGAACCACTTCTTAATTGCTGTTGTTCCCAGTTTCACTCTGACTTGGGGTGGTAGTACCTGTTAGGATCCCAGCTATGGCCAAAGAGTGAAACCTCAAACAAAAACAAAACACCATGAAAGTATAAAAATACATATTTATAGTAAAATTACCAACAGTACATTTTATCTGTAGTTAAAGTCATACAATTGGATTCAAAATATTTAGATTTTGGCATTAAATAATCCATAGAGGTTGATATGCCGCTAACCAAAACCAAATAACTAGCATGAAAGAACTCTCTTGTGACCTTAATCCATATAATATCCTATAATTTGTTAAATCAAACTGTATTCCAAAATATAACTTCAATAAAACTACAACATAAAACGCATGCATCACCACCTCTAGTAATCATGTCCACACAAACATGTCTATGCACAAAAACTAAGTATCATCTATCATGTATTCAAGTGTGAAAGCAGAATAACATATTTTTATTACTTCGAAGCTCCCAAGAAAATTAAATTTCAGCATTAAATGACCTATAAGGAGTTAAAGAAATGAATCAAATCATACATGAAAATATCCTTAAATTCATTGTTCAGTCAACCATTGTATTTCCTTCAGACTAGAGCACAGAGGTTATGGGCTCCCCAGTGGATAGCAATATTTTGCATTTCAAAATGTTGCTAAATTTCTTCAGTTTATAATGCAAGTCTTCAAAATTAGTTATTAAATATCGTTTCAATTCTCGCTAGTGATTTACTTCTGCACTTATAAAGATAGAATAAAAAATATATATATATTTAGAACGTTTTGATCACGTCCACCATTACAAAGACGCTCTCCTTACTGATATCTTTTTCATGAATTTATACTCTCCATTCTTCTGCAACATCAGATCTTTTTTATCAAATATCTGCAGTCGACTCGGTGCAATAAACCAAGGATTCGTTTTTGTTGAAATAGGCTGCAATATCTTTTTCTTTATTTTATTACCAAGAGAAAGTTGTTCCTGGATATAAGTTTGTTTTATTTATCTTTCTTTTAATCTAGACCCCAAGATCTCTCCAATATATTTAGGTCTCTTCACTAGATCATTAAGTTCATCCTGAGAGATTGAATGTAATAATGTTATGGCAGACATGTCTACTGCTTATCTGTGTTCTAGCTGTAGTCTCGCTTATTGATAAAATGATATATTTTAAACTTGGATTTAATAATAGAAAATCCTGAATTCCATCATATGATCACCAATGTCCTGAAAGGACATAGCACATAAAAAAAGATGACTGTATTTTCAAATAAAATATGCATATGTATTGTGTAAAATTGTAGGGAAAGCTGTAAAATGTGTTTTACAAAAATATGAAGGAGAAAACTGTTTCTCCAAAAGAGATAGAAATTCTCTTGAAATAATGAAAACAATTATTTTAATATTTCCTTGCATAATTATGCAAAATTAAAAAAAAAAATGGTGATGCAAAAATATTCAGAGATTCTGTTTGATTTTCAAATTCATTTAGATTTCCTTTTATTTTTATTATTTTCTAAAGATAAGTTTGTATATATCTGAACTGATGAGAATTGGACTTCTTTAATAGTTTTTCATTTATGAGATGTTGCTATTATTTTCTATTCTAAATAATTTGATTTAGTTATGAAATCTGAAAGTTTTTCAGATTTATTGTTGGCTCCAATCTGTATTGAAAAGGTGATTTTCTATGCATAGCTCAGATGTGGCACAAGGCCATAAGTATGAGGCACCTAGTGAGGATTGAACTCACGTAATTGATCTAGTGAGACAACCTTGCTAACCATTATACCATGTTGTGATACCTAAAATGATTTTTTAAGCATAGCTTAGATGTGGCACAAAGCTGAAAGTGTGGGTACCAAGTGAGTATTGAACTTGTTACACAGTTGTAATTGATTAAGCAAGACAAGGTTGCTAACCATTATACTTCATAGAAGTGCCTCTTTTTTTAAATATTGGGGCACCCACTGAGAACCAAACTCACTACTCAGTTGTAATTGATTAAGCAAGACAAAGTTGCTAATTATTACACCATGCCGTAGTGATTAAATCTGTATTGAAATGATTGCAAAATACTTCCCCCTTCCCAATTTATAGTCAAACCCATACAGATGCATGCTGGGATTTCTTCCTAGCCAATAAGATAGGCCACTTCTTGATCTCCTCTGACTCAGTCCCTGTCTGTTTTGTCTTGAAATAAGAATGCTGAGTTCATTAATCCAAATTTGCTCTGTGTCTGCACCAGTTCTTAGTTTATGAATTTTTGCCATGTTACTGTTTCTTGTCTTGCATATATTGTTTACTTGCTTTGTATTATTTTTGCCATGTTCTTTGCTTTTCCTTGTTATTGTTTATTGCAAACTTTGTCAATTTTGTTTGTTGGGAAGTTCTACCATTTACATTTAACCATGGCCACTTAGTCTAAATTTATAAATCCTCTGTTTCCAAATAAGATTTCCCTTCACAATGGCAAATATGAAATATATAAGCACCCCCCCCACTTCATTTTTTTTAATCCATTTAGAAACCTGTGGATTTGACAAATATCTTCCTGCATTGAACTGTTGCAAGAAATTACTATATAGAAAGAATTTAGAATTTCAAGTTATTCTGCAAAACAAAACAATGGCATTAGCCAAAACATGTAAGAATTTCTAGTCTTAATATCAATGCTTATTCTCATTTTTTGGTAAAGTTCTTTCAAACATTTTATTTTTTTTTTTTTTTTTTTTTTTTTTTTTTTTTTTTGTAATGAATGTAATAAAATTTAGATCTTTTTTTTTTTTTCTCCTCAGGTGTACAAAGTGTGAGTGATGTTGTTCCTACAGTGAAGACTTTGACTTTGCTGGCCCAGTGACAAACCTTTCAATGTGTATCCTGTCTCTCTTCCAAACAGATGTCATTGATGTCAGAAGCCACAAACTCATTATTTATTTGTATTGTTTCTCATCTGTTATATAATCATCATCACATTTGCACACAAACTGACAAAAATGACAACTTAGAAAAGAAAAACAAAATGGTCTCCACATTGTTATTTAAAAGCTAATTAATTTTAAAATTTTTAAAATATTTTTTTCAAAGCACAGACACACATACACTCCATCAAAAAAAAGTTTTCAAACTCGTGTATAAAATGCACTTGTAGCTTGATTCAGAGATATATTCAATGGACTGGTGTCTGAGAGATTTGAAATTCTAGTGTCAGATTAGTAGAGCTTATTACTACAGAATGTACCCTCCCCTAAATAAAACCTTATTTGAAACCAGGGCAAAAAACCCCCCCTGTATTTTAGTGGTCACTGAAATATGTAGTATGCACATTTAGTCAGATATGTGAATGATACCCTGGTAATGCCAGGTCTGCAAATTAGGTGTAACTTTAAATTTCACTAAGAGCTGCTTTTTTTTTTCTTTTTCTTTTCTTTGAAATGATTCATGCTTCTGAAATTATATAACTATTTTAAAATTTAAGTGACCTTTGCACTTTGGTAAATTTTTCTTTCTTTTCCTTTGCCTAAGCAAATGTGCTTTCTTCCTTTTCCTCTCCATATCCATATTTAAAGATTCTTCAGTTGGAAGCCATTATACATTTATGGAATTTTGTTCCAGTAGAGAGTTCTTTGATCACCTGTTAAATATGAATATATTTTTTTTTCTGTTGAATTTTTGTTAGAAGACATTTTCTGCATATTTGCTGTTTTGATTTTCTTTTGAATGGTTCAAGCAAAAACCAAAGATGACGGAAAACTCCAGTTGTAAATTCCTTTTTAGCTTTCAAAAAATGAAAAACAATTGGAAACCTCTGAAATGTGGTCTGGTTACATTTCAAAAGATGACGAAATATAATGACAGTAGTTAAAAGGTCTTTTTTGCTTTTCTTTTAAAAAAAGAAAAGATTCTCCTGACATTGATAATGCTTGTCTGTTTACAAATCACACTTAAGGTTCATCTTAGGCATTAGAGCTACAGGCTGAAGCTAGAGAGGATTGAGATCTTATTTCAGGTGCCAGGATGTTGACAAAAAAGAATATTGCAGCCTGTGTAGGTCAACTTGGCAATTAGAAAATCTGCAATAACTACAATGTCTCAATTCATGAGGCATCTACTGGCAATGGCCTGTGAGATGAGCTACAATCTATAGGAGGCACCCTTAATATGTTATGCAGTTTGTCATTGCATCTTGAACTTTAAAATTTATTTTGAATCCATTAATGAATATCCAACGTAGATGTGTGGATAGTGTAATGGTTATTAGTATGGAAAGTGGAATTGGCCAGCTGAGTTCAAATTCCAGATTCAAATGCCTTCCAGAAAGGCTTGAATTCATCTCTTCTTCCCTATCTGCTATGGGTTAAATAGTAGGGTAGACTGAGCTCAATAGCCTTGGGTGATAGCCAGTTTAGAAGAACAGCTCTGAATCCAAAACTGTAGGGAAAGCAATGTGAAAGCACTCCACAATCTTTTCCAAGAAGGCTTGGTATTTCACCGATAAGAAAAAGGAATCTGTGAAGAGTCATGATCAGCTGTATTCTGAAGAGATATAGTATTTTAAAAAAAAAATATTTATCCCAAAATTTTATCCTGGTTTTATGATGATCTTTTTTTTTTTTTTTTTTTTTTTTAATCAAAAAAATCTTTTTAGAACATTTTTAAATGATCACTTTTGGCTTAGATAAAGCAACAGAATATTAAATATGCTCCCTGAAGTTTTAATTTTGAGTCCTCAGTAAAGAACATGGGTATCAGAAGAACAAAATCTACCTGCTTGAATAGAGTTGGGTCCTTTGCTAGTAAGTTAAAGACTTTTTGATAAAGTGCATCCTAATTTCCCAAGTAGGCTCCCTATTTTCTCAACATCCATTTTGATAACATACGTATATAACAAAGTCATCTACTACAAAAGTTTGAAGGAATCTGTGCTTGGGGAAAAATGCTATTGAAATTTTAAAAGTGAATTTGTAAATAAAAATAAGAGTTGATGATTATCATAGCATATAGGCTTTAGAAAGAATCAGAAACCTAATCCTAAACAGGAAATGAGGGATAAACCATTACTCCTGTTCAAGACACTGGGTGGGGAGGACTGTGAACTGTTTTCTCAGTGCTTCCATAACTGACACACAGAAACAATGCAGACAATCCAGATAAAGTCTCTTGTTTCACTTTCACTCTTTTGATTCTACTGCAACTATTTTTGTCCACATCTGAAAGCTTCACTTCATTTTAGATATTTAAGACTTTTAAAACACATAAATTTGAAACGACAGCTGCTTTTTTTTTTTTTTTTTTTTTTCCATAAAATCAAATATATTTTCTCCAATACGCCCTCAGTTAATAACACATACTGAAATGTTGATTTTTATTAATAATTTTTGTTATCCTTACATATGAGGAAATTCAACATGACTTTTTGTTTTTAAATGCTAGATGCAGTTGTGAAAAGTTTGAGGGAAGCCTTTCAGTTATTCTCTTTTGAATCAAGAGATTGTAACATAGTATGATACAGTTGACCATCATAGATAAATGTAACAAAAATATGTAAAATTTCTTTATGATGCTTTATTGACAGCGAGATTCATTTGTTAGACATTTTCCTTTAATCAGGAGCTTATAAATATTGCATGAAGCACAGTTTTGAAAGCCACTGCCAAGGAATAGAAAAAAAAAATGGTACATTTTTTTTTTGTCTCTGTATTTGACTGCAGTTGTTGTTACATTCATAGGCATAGGGGAGGTAATTTTACAGGTTTGAAATTGTGAGGGTTTGCAGAATGAACTTGCCCTGAAAATGTACAATTTACCCCCACCCTCCCAACTTTGTATGCCTATGTTTACTGCAGACGAATCCCTTTAAAGTGAGATACCTTAACCTGTCTCATTATTTACATTATTTGGACTATTGTCCTCATCTTTGTCGCTCTTATAACGTTTCGGCCGTTGTACGCTCCGGCCTTCTTCAGGTGGTTGGAATGTCAAACTGAACCTTTTATTTCGCTCAACTGGGGTAGACTGTTCTAGTTCCACATGCCATGTTTAATGGATATCAGTTATCCCTGTTAATTTCCCTCTGAAATTTCTCCACTGCCTTAGCCGGGTTCTGAACTCACACTCTTTGGGTCCTCTCACTGGCAGTGGAGAACTTTCAGAGGAAAATTAACAGGAGATACCTGATAACTGACATCCATTAAACATGGCATCTCAGAAATATAGACAGGTACTTAACCTGTCTTTTACTTGAAAATTCATATTACCTCCGAGAATATTGGAAATTGATCTAGGCAGAATTAAATAAATTTGAGTTAATACAATATTATTTTTTTTTTTTTTTTTTAATCATTTTGATCTCGTATCCAATTTTTTTAATTTTTTTTTTATCTGTTTTAGTTGGGAAAAGAATTTTGTTGATGTGAAATGTTTGTGATTTTGAGGAAATTCTCCCTCAGTGAAAGTCTATTATTGAAAGGCATTTACAATTTCAAGTGTTCTCTGTTGAGAGCTGTTGTTTTTGAACTGGAGGAATGTTTCCTAGGTGTAAAGACAGGAAAAGTCTCTTGAGTGCTGGTCACTAGGTCAGCACTAATCAGGCTGTGAGAGTTTTCCTGTAAGCATCTAGCAGTCACTCACCATTTGGAACATATGCACACACATCTCTCTCTCTCATCTATAAAAGAAAAATTAAAAAGAATTTGTTACTCCCCACCATATATATATATATATATATATATATATATATATATATATATATTGTTCCCCACCTGTAGCACAACTCTGAGTTTCAAAGTGCAATAATTTATATTTATAATGTGCTACAATATATATATATATATATATATATATATATATATATATATATATATATATACACACACCCTTGTGCAAATTGATTGAAACAACCACTTTAATTTCCTTTTTCACCATACAGTCAGTTTTAGACCCACTGGAGTGACAGTGTGTGTATATATATATATCCTTGTACAAACAGTTGCTTTAGTTTCGTTTCTTTCACCATATGGTCAGTTTTAGACCCACTGACAGGGTGAAAGCGTGTAATTGATTTCTATTTTTTCCTCAAATTAGATCCTTTGTAGTAGTGTGCAGTAATATGAATCTATTTTCAGGGTATATGATGAAATTTGTTTGACCTTGAAAAATATTGTCATCTGTGATTGCATCAGATTTTTATCACGCCCAGACACTCTTGTCTCGACTGTCGATTAGTTGTTCTACGGCCATTGTCTGCGATGGACGTTACTCCAAGGAAGCGTACGAAAATTGTAACTCTGCACAAACACACTGGCAAGCCTTACCAGTGAGCAAATCAAAGTACCATTGACTGGCCTGGAAACTCTTCTTATTTAAACCCAATCGAGAATCTGTGTTCAATCTGCAAGAAATGACTTTGTGGAATGGACATACGAAATACTAACATGCTCTGAGTCATGTCTCATTGGAAAAATACGAAAAAAGAGTAAATAACGGAATTATTTGTTTTGTTTCAATTAATTTGCACAAAGATGTATATATGCACACATGCGAGGGTGACCTGAAAAGTTCATAGGCTGACTATGAAGGAATGATGTTTGTTGTTGGCTGTATCCCATATTCAAGAATTTAATTTCTTTTCTGATCTCATCCTTTATGATGATGAAGTTGATAATTAAGTAGACCAATTCCTGCATGGAAGAGCTGATTGCATTGACTGCATAGTAATGTTGGTGGACAAAGTTGATTTTGTCTAGCCTTTCTCTCTTGTCGTTTGAATTCCTCCTTTTCTCTTCTTCTGATGGTTTCAAAGTTTTGGGGTTCTGATTGTGATGGAACATAACCAGTCGTGGTATTGGTCTCAGGTTTGTG